GGGTAAAAATGGTAAACAGTAGGGACCAAATCAGGGATTTTTTTAGTTCAGGGACCAAATCGGGGGTCCGTACAATAGTCCAGGGACCAAAAAGGGGTTTTAACCAAAAAATTATCTTTACCTCTCCTCTTTTGCCAACACAAGTGCTGATTTGCCTTAGGGCCCAGAATCCGAATCTGATATGGCTCAATGTCCTCCAACCAATAAAAAATATTTTACACGTGACATTAATTTAAAATTTTATAATTTATGATGTAAACAATACTACTATAAGAAATGGAACAAAAGAAACAATGCACTTTAGATAAAAACTCTAAACAACTTCACAATTACAGCACTAAATAGCAATTTTAAATATAACCCGAGTCAGTTAAATAATTATACAAGATACAACCTAACTTTACCCGACTCATGTTTTGAGCAATCCCCGAGTGTCTCCATTACAAAGACTAAAGATAGATTATAACAGAAAAACAAACGGCTTTTAAATTCAATGAGTGCTACTTCATTTATAATTAATTAATTTTAAATTAGATACAAATCTTGTAATAAAACTCACATATTCAATTTTTACATGATTTCAAAACCCAACTTTCATTCTTGAACAATTCATTAGTAACCCATTTGATAGAACTTGAAGTCCATATATATTGAACCTACATATAAGAAGATACATTAAGTTTACTAGTAAATTTTCACATTAAGAAAAAAGAAAATATAACAATATCTTATTCTTCAACTTGCTTAAAATCAGTAGACTACCAAAGGACATTTTTATAAACACTTTTTTTTTCTCATAAGTTTAAAAGGCAACGGAGAAAATAATAATTTTTAGCATCCAAATTACTTATAAGTACGTTTTATTTTTTATTTTTAAAAACAAGTGTTACTCTTTTTTTTGTCAAACTCAGAGGATATATATATATATATAAATATAAAGAGAGCTCTGGGAAACACCTCAATTTTCTTCATGGATTCATTCCAATGTCTTCCTTGGGAGAAGAGTGTTTCTTGAGGTAGATAGCTCGCCTAAATATGAGTCCAGACCTTCTGACGATGGAACCAAGGAATGGTTCGTCCGAGACCGGGATGAGCTTCACAACCCAACCAATTGGCCATGTAAAAGCAGCAATCAAAATACAAAACCCCCAATATCGTGGCTTCAAGTTCTGCGTATCAGCAAATTTCTTCAGCACCTCCACCATCACCACCTGCAGAACGATTGTTATCGCCACGATTCCGAGAAACAATCTGTTATTGAAAATTCCTTTGAAAACATTCTGTTTCTCTAGCTCCCTTGAGTTGAACTCATTAAAAACTTGACAGAAAACGAATGTGTTGAACATTAGGGTGTCGTTCACTATTGGGCTGACATTGAACAAAGATCCACCCTTGAATTGTAAAACCAGAAGGATGGCTATCTGATAGAGAGCTTGAGCTAAGAGATTCCTCCACATTACATTGGTTATAAGTGGCTCTACACGCCCAACTGGTGGCTTCTTCATTAGCTCCTCCGTTGGCCTGTCTGTGGCAAGCGCCAGAGCACCAAGTGAGTCCATGATTAGGTTTACCCAGAGCAGCTGGACTGCAGTGAGGGGAACTTCCCCTGCAGAGACAGCAGCAATGAAATTAATCACAAGAGCTGCGACATTGACAGTGAGCTGAAACTGAATGAACTTCTGGATGTTATTGTAAACTCCTCTTCCCCATCTCAAAACCGTGACCACAGTTGTGAAATTATCGTCGAGGATGACTATGTCTGAGCTCTCCTTGGCCACTTCTGTTCCCTGAATGCCCATTGAAAGTCCTATATCGGCTTCTTTTAGAGCAGGAGCATCATTGGTCCCATCTCCAGTAACTGCAACCACATGACCCTTCTGTTTCAAGCATTGCACCATCAAAAGCTTGTCAAACGGAGATGACCTTGCCATCACCTTGATATTCTCTACCTTCTGCATTCTCTCTTCAGCTGTGTAGTTTCGGAATTCAACACCTTCTACAACTTCTTCGCTGTTGTTATCTGACCCCAGAATTCCACATTCTGTGGCTATAGCTTTCGCTGTAAAAACATTATCTCCGGTTATCATTTTGATTCTCACCCCCGCTAATTGGCAAGTCTCCACAGCCTCCTTGACCTCTGGCCGACATGGATCCTTCAGACCAACAATTCCTAGGAGGGTTAACCCATCTTCTTTAATCTTCCTGCCAGCGTGTCCTCCACCATCATTGCCTTCCATTTCTTCTTCAGAAACTTGCTTCTGAGCAAAAGCAATGCAACGAAGGCTACTAGCAGCCATGCTTTGAATTATCTTCTCCATTTCATTTCTGCCGTCTCTGTCCATCAACCTTACCTCCCCATTACTATTATAATAATTCGAACACATTCCCAAAATCATCTCTGCAGCTCCTTTCCAATGCACATGGATGGTGTTATCAGCCTTTTTCCTAATGGAAATTCCACTTCGTTTCTTCTCCGAATTAAAGGTTTCCACATGCAATATGCTATAATTCTGCTTCAAACTTTCCATATCCATACGGAAATCTAACACAGCCCAAGAAAGAATCGCTTTCTCAGTTGGACTGCCAGAAAACTGACGTTCAGATCCTGAGACAGAATTGGAAACACTTCCAGTCGTGTTCAGGCCAACTCCTTGGTGGAACAATTCAAGAACATTGAGTGCAATTGAGCTGGAAGAATTTGTAGCAATGGATTCCTGGCCGAGCCAGAACTTGGTGACCTTCATCTGATTCAATGTCAAGGTTCCTGTTTTATCAGTACAGATAACCGTAGCCGATCCCATTGTTTCACATGCAGAAAGCTTCCTGACCATTGCCTGATCAGCCATCATCCTCTTCATGGAGAACCCAAGCGTGAGAGTAACTGCCAATGGCAGACCCTCTGGGATGGCCACCACCACAATGGTGACTGCAGCAGCAATTATCTCCACTATCGCATCTAAAATGTCAGCTAATCGTGTATTTCTACCGCTATATTTCTTAAATCCACTGTCCTCTGTGGTATTTCCGGTAAAATAACGGATAAACATTACTACTAGAACCAAGAAAGCAACAGACAGGCCTACCTTTCCAATAGAGGAGGTTAGTGTGTCCAGCCGAGCTTGTAATGGAGTTCTTTCGTTGGTATCACGGCTAACCGAGCTCATCATTTCGCCCCAGGAGGTGTTCATCCCAACAGATGCCACCAGCATTTGAGCATAACCATCAACCACCTTTGATCCAGAAGACAAAAATGGGTTCTGAATAGAGTCAACTTCAACATGATCGCTCTCACCAGTCATGCTTGACTCGTCCACCTGTAGGGAGTGTCCAGTCAAGAACAACCCATCAGCGGGAATTTGATCTCCGATCTTCAAATACACAACATCCCCGACAACAAGATCAAATATGGACAACGACTGGCGGCGACCTCCTCTCAGAACATCAACTTTGATATTGTTACTTATTTTGGACAACTTGTCGAACTGAGTTTCTTGTCTGAAATTGGTCGAAGCAGAGATCACCACCACCAGAAAGACAGCAACAAAAATGCTTCCACCTTCATACCAGCCCTCTTGCACGCCTTGTTCTTTGATTCCGAATCCGAGAGAAAGAGCGGCACATACCAGGAGGATGATAATTGTTGTATCCTTCAAAGCATCCACTACGAAGTAAAACAACCCTTTAGGCGGCCGCATATGGTAAGTGTTTGAACCAAAAATGTCCTGCCTTTTTCTAACTTCCCCAGCGTCATCTCGGATCCCATTTTCTGAGTCAGTCCTGAGAGCGGTGGCAACACCTTCAACTCCACCGAGCTGGTCAAGAGAAGCAGAGTTTTTTTCTTTCACTAGCAAGGCAAGTCTGTTCTTATCAATGCCTGAAGCAAGGGCAAAAGATGGAGATTTGTTAAGGATCAATGTTCTGGAAGAATCTGGGGGTTCAAACTGACTGTTAGCCATGGCTGTTGCCGCTGTGGATTAGCTGAGATGATACGAACATAAGAAGTTGATGAAGAATGAATTTACCTTCCCTGGAAGCTGAAGATTTTTTTTTTTTTTTTTTTTCACTTAAGAAAATTATTGAAAATAAGAAGAGTAGTGCTCGAGAATAAATTTCAAAGCTTTCACGTTCGAACATAT